CACAGCCAGAGTTAAGAACCAACATCTTACACAATTGTTAGGCTTCTAGAGGGTGACTGTGTCTATCCCAAAAGTCCCATTTGCTTTGTTTTGTTTCATCTTTTAGGCCTTGAAAATCCAAACGGTGGGCATTCCAATCTATGCAAGTTTTTCATTCATCTTCTCATTATCTTAACAGTTTTCAGAAGAACCTATGGGATTTTCTTTCTTCCACTGGTCTACATAAAAGGAAATAAAATGACATTAAAAGGACCACTCAAGTATTCAGCTGACTCTCCGAGTTAGCAATGGTCTTATTAGAACTGTTGCCCACTGTCTTCCCTCTGTTTGGGCTGCTATAACAAAATACCACAGACTAGGGGCTTACAAAGAAACAGAAATTTATTCCTCACAGTTCTGGAGGCTGGAAGTCCAAGATCAAGGTGCCGGCAGATTCCGTGTGGGCTCTGCTGAGAACCTGCTTGCTGGCTCATAGACGGCTGTCTTGTCGCCGAGTCCTCACATCACGGAGGGGGCCAGGGAGCTCTCTGGGGCCTCTTTCAGGAAGGGCATTAACCCCATTTGTGATGGCCCTGCCCTCACGACCTGATCACCTCCCAAAGTCCTTACCTCCTAATGACATTACCTTTGGGGGTTAGGATTCAACATATGAATTCTGGGGAGACACATTCAGACCACAGCATTCACAATTGTATCATTTGAGGATGGAAAGTACCAGAACCATGAGTCCATTTGCCATCACTGACCCCAAAGCACCCTGAGTCCAGCCCTAACTGGCTGCACCGCGGGAGGACTCCCGTGGGAGCACCAGCAGGAACAGTGAACTCCAGCTGAGAGCGCTAAGTTCTCCCCTTCTCACGATACCTCTCTGCCTGCTGCACAGGACAACACACCTGGCCATTGTCCCTGGCAGTTTCAGCTCAGCCAGAACAAGAGGTAGGAAAGGAAGCCAGCAATTCTAAAGTATAGGGTGACTTATTTAGTATCCCACCTTTTTCAATGGCACTCTGGTCTGGAAAAAGCAAGGTAGGAAAGTCTTTCTTCCCACTTGGTGGGTTAGTTTCCCATTGCAGTGTAACAAAGTACCACAAAACTAGTGGCTTAAAACAATACATATTTATGATTTCACAGTTGTTGTGGGACAGGAGTCCAGGCAGCTTTGCTGGGTCCCCTGCTCAGGGTCAAGTCTACAATCTAGTGGGTAGCTAGGCTGTATTCTCATCTGAAGACATGAGTGAGAGAAGCCACGTCCAAGCTCGCAAGATTTTTGGTAGATTCATTTCCTTGCAACTATATGACTGAAGGCCAGACTGCTTACCGGCTATTGGGAGAAGGCTGCCGAGGTCCTAGCGGCCCCCTGCAGTTCCCTGCCACACAGTGCTCTCTGTAGATATTTCAGAGCACAGCTATTTGTCCTTCAAGGCCAGCAGGAGAGTCTCTTTCACTCTAGCCTGATAAGACAGAGTCTTGCATAATGTAAGGAAATCTTGGGAGTGACATCCCATCACCTTGGCCATGTTCCCTGAGCTAAAAGTAAGTCACATGTTCTCTGGGCTAAAAGTGAGTCATACAGTCTGACCTCACTCAAAGGAAGAAGATTATACAAGGGGCCACCTAGGGTGTATCTGCCACAGTGTGTTATCCAGCGTCTTTGGAAAAGTGATGGAGCATCGCTGATGCTGTATAGACAACAGGTGGGTATATTTAGTCTAATGATCACCTTGGAATCAGACGGTGGCTAAGAGAGCCTCCTCCCGGGCAGAGGACCAGTGCCCCGTGCAGAGTGACCTGGCAGAGAGAGGCTGGTGGGAAGGTGGAAGGGGACACGGTGGAAGAATCGGACAAAGGAACTAGGAGTTGGGTCTGTTCTCGGGTACACCCTCGCCCCCCTCCGGCAAGCCCTGTTCCCCAGCTTGCTTCTGGCCAGGTCCAGCCAAGGGGAAGCAGTGACAGAACCTTGGAGAGCAAGAGTCTGGGAAAAGCCAGGGGACTTCTCGCTCTCAGCTGTGGAGGGTGTGTCCCAGCAGCGGCTGGGTCCCTCTCGTGGCTCCAGGTCTGCTGTCCCAGCTCCTGCCTGGCAGCCTCCTGCTGTGGTTCCAGGCCCATCAGGTGGCCCTGTTTCTGGTTCTGGTGGCACCACCTGGTCCCTGTGTCCCTCCAGCCTCAGGGTGGTGAAGACTTCCTTCGGCTGCCGGTCTCTGGGTGCCTCATTCTCGTCTGTCTGTCTTCTCAGATCTCCCTTCATCTGTGTGATCAGTTCTCTGTTTTATATTTATTCTGTTTGAAATCTCTGGAGTAATTTATGCTTTCCAGACTGGTTCCTGGTATAAAGGGTTTTGATGAGCTGGTAGGTGTGACCCGGTGGGGTAGATTGCTGGAAAACACAGCCTCAGTTATTCCTCCCACCCCTGCAGGGCCCGGACAGGGTGAGGCGAGTCAGGCACTCCCCTTGTGTCAAAATACTCAGTAATTCGGATAATAATATTTTAGTGCACCATCTCAAAAAATCAGAATCAATGCTGAAAATCTATGATGTAGGTCAACGAGCTCCCACGAGGTGAACACACCCATATACCAGCACCCAGATCAAAAACAGAAAGTGCATCATCAGCACCCCAGACCGCCCGGCAACCCTGAACCCCCTCCCAGTCACCACCCCTCGCAGGTAAACGCTGTCCCAACTACCACCGTTATGTGGCCATTTAGTTTGAATATTTAATAAACAGAACCACGCAACATATTCTCTTTCGTGCCCACATTCTTTTGTGCAGCATCACGTTTAAGAGATTCATCTCTGTTTTCATAGAGAGCTGTGGTTTATTCTCAAATAAGCACGATTGGTTGTCTCTTTTTGTAACATGAAGTGTTACTTCCGTGTAACAATACAGGCTTGAGTAAGAAAAATGAGAAAAATACAAAGACGAAGTCCGCTGAGATGCCTGGCGCTCAGAGGTTTGGCAGGTGACCCTCCTGAATGATTTTTAGATGCGCTTATAGTTTTCTTCCCGTTCAAAATGCATTTCCCCTTAGAACCTGAGTTTTTTTCTCAAAAGGTAGAATGGTTGCTCTGAAGAGAAGAGAACAGAATTGGGAGAAGGCGATGCTGTGTTTGCCTCCCCTCCAAACTAATTGCACTAAGTCAGAAAAGTCACTTGTGGCTTCCCCTCTCTGGATGTTGCTTCCTAGTCTCTGAAAAGGGCATAAGCCAGCCCCTCAGCCTCCCTCTCAGGGCTGTGAGCCCCTAACAGCCCCTCGGTGAGCCTGCCCCTGGGGCAGTGAGGGTTAGTGGCTCTGGAGAAGAAGTGCCCTCCCGGCATTTTCTCCTAGGGGATAACAGGGCAGATAAGAACTAAAAACTTCTGGAAAGCCAGCCTGCAGATGTCTGAGAGACAAGAGGCTGTTTGGAAGCACTACTGAAACCGGAATGATTGCCCACTTTCTAGGCGAAACCGCTGTCCTCGCTCAGCTATTTGGAATATGCACCACCACCCTCCAGGAGCCTGCCTGCAGGTCTGGGAGAAACTTGCAGAACAACAATTCCAAAAATACCTCCCTGAGGTGACCAGTAGAGCTGTGAGGGTCCAAAAGCCAAGGATGTAGGAGAAAGGCCACCCCAGAAAGGACGAGGGAAGGGCCTGAAGGACTAGGCTGCGTCCCCTGCCTGCAGAGCCAGAGACCAGGGATACAAGAGGCAGAAGGACTCGGGGCACCAGGGACGGGGATCTTTGGTGTCATTTCTACCTCCTCACTGCGCAGGCCAGGCCAGCTGGAGCGACAGCTCTGGTTGGAAAATGCTTACACTTGGCGCCTGCCCTCTCGCTGAATTCTTCCAGCCCCCCGTGAGGCAGGCTTCATCCATGTCTGGTAAGGGTGGGAGCTGGCCCTCGGAGAGTAAGGCGTTTGTGCCTCCAAGGTTTCTCAGCATGGCAGAGCCGGCGGGCCACCCCAGGCCTGGCCACAGGGCCCACCTGCTGTTACCATTTCCCACTGGCCCACTGAGAAGCGGTGAAATGTTTTACGGTGCTTAATTCAAGTATTTATTGAACACCTTCTGCACACTGGACAGAACTGTGCCTGGAGCACCTAGGGCACATTGGACCATTATGGACGGGGTGCTGTTATGTGGGACATCCCATTTGATTCCAACAGGGGCATTCGGACAGTGAGGGTGGTCCCACTGAGGAGGTGGCACGTAAATAGTCTTGGAGGATGGGCAGTGTCCTGGCAGGTGGAGGGTTGCTGGGAAACAGCACACAGGTGAGGCTGAAACAGATGAGAGCAGGCCTGCCTCCTGGTCCACGGCTCTTGGACAGACTCTTCACCAGAATCGCCTGGTTGCTGGTGCAAATGGATCCCTCGTCCCCAGCTGTGAAGGCTGATTTGACAGCCTAGGAGCCACGCAGGAACCTGCACTGTAACTCCCGGGCTTCCAGGAGATCCTGGTGCAGGAGATCTGGGGTCACACCCAGAAACGACTCCAATCTGAAAATGTCGATTCCACAGCAGGGTTCCTCACTGCACCCCGCACACCCGACTGTCTTCCTTCCCCAGTGGAAAAAAAAATCAACAACAAACCTGTGAATCTATTTCATCACCTTGGCTGATTTTGTTATTTAAACCCAAATTTCCTGTAATATGAAATATAGAACCTGAGCGAGACACCCCGCCTCAAGGGTGAACCATTTATTCTGATGCAGAGTCCACCCCTTTCCACTAGGGGGCGAGGTCTGCCTCAAAAGTGGGAACCAGAACTTCAGTGGCAGAAATTTGCAACCTAAAAGCTCTTGTTCTAACCTACAATGAAAAAGAATATGAAAAGGAATATATGTATGTACATGTGTGATTGAAATATTACGCTGTATACCAGAAACTTGACACAACATTGTAAACTGACTATACTTCAATTAAAATAGAAAAAAAAAGACAAAAAAAAAAAAACTCATCTTCCAGAATCTTCTGTGCTTTAGTTCAAAATGAACTTTCTTTTAAATCCCAGGGGAGGCTTTGGTCATTCAAACACAGTATTTACATCACAAAAATCTCTGAACCTGGGATGTATGTCTTGAGACAAAAATTCTTAAGATGATCTTACAAGTTCTTCTTACAAGAACTTCTTAGACCAGCCATGGAGGGAGGAGAGGATATAGCTCAAGTGGTAGGAAGCTTGTTTAGCATGCACAGGGTCCTGTGTTCAATCCCCAGTACCTCCCCTAGTGATTATGCCTGTTGGTCAACATAACATGTTCTGTGCCATGTCTGGGACCTTTGCTTCCCCCATCACCCACCTTCTGGCTTACCTCCCCAGACCCTCCCCTCCAACAGAGACTGTTGCTGAACTGTATGTCGGTGCACAGAAAGTTTTGTTGCAGGGCCAATCTAGGAGGAATAAACCCGAAGTCTTGATAGTTTCTGGAAAAACATTTTAAGGACAAATTTGGGGTGAGGGGCACTGCAGATTTCTTCTGATTGCTAGGTGGTGAGGTAACAGGGCGGTGTCCTGGGAATCTTGTGCTGAGCCTGAAGTTACCCTCCTCCACCTGGGTGAGGGCCTTAGTTTCTGCAGAAGAGCTCAAAGATATTGTTCTGTGTATCCTTGAGGAGGAGCCAGGACCTTGCCTCAAGGTTGTGCTATTGTTTCTTGACTGTTCCTCCTTTGTCTCCACCTTCCCTCCCTTCTCTGATTAGCAACTGTTTGAATCTGCCTTTGGAACTCAGGGAAGGTCTAGGAGGCTGAATGAAATCAGAAAGGATTTGTACCATGGAGGACACCACAGGCCCTGTGGTTTAGATGACCCAGGATCCACTCTGTGCACAGCAACTCTTTGGGGTCCTGAAGTCAGTTAGATAAGGATTTGCATCCTAGCTCTGCCCCTTACTAGCTGTGTTGCTTTGGGCAAGTCACCTAACCTCTCTGAACCTCAGAGTCTAATCTAAAGTGGGCCATTAAACCTGTGGTAAGTGTTAAATAAGTTGATGTGTGATTGGTAAAGTACCCAATACACAGTAGGAGCTTGATATAATTTATCCCTGACTCCCGCTCATTGCTTGGTGTCATTCAATGCTTATTAAGTCAAGGTGATCTTTGGGAAGTCCTTTTCCTTCTCTGGGCCTGTTTCCCTTTATGCAAAGTGAAAAGGTTGAGCTAGGTGCTCTCCGTAAACCTTTCCAGCTGTAAACCTGGAGTCCTCTGATTCCAGGAGAGGAGGAGGAAACTGAATGATGGCACCTGTGACCAGGAAGAGGCCGACCCGGGGAGGAAATGAACTATCTTGTTTTCCCATGAGCTCATGAGGATGAGAATGAATTAGAAACAGCAAGAGGTGCTTCTTTCCCCCCTCTCTCCTTCAGAGGGTTTTGCATCCTGGAGACTGGAGTACCAGAAGAGAGAGGAAATGTTTGCTCTTGCAAGCCTGGGATGAGAAGGGGAAGTGCTGGGGCCTGCTGAGCTGCTGGGGAGAAGGGTGGGCTCCCCAGGAACTGGGTGGGATGAGTCCCAGCCCCATCTGCACACAGGGGAATGATGTAGGATATACTGGAGGCTGGCCCACAGCCCTTAAGCCCTGGGAACCAGGAGGCAGGGAGGGTGGATTCCCCTGGGGGAGGAGGAGATGGGAGAAAGCTCTGTAGGGAAACCTCTGGGACAGTGCTGTCCAGTAGGACTTTGTACAGTGATAGAAATCTATATCCACCCTGTCCAACATGGTAGCCACTGAGCACTGAAATATGGCTACTGTGAGAAATTGAGTTTTAAATTTTACTTCATTTTAATGTATTTCAATTTAAGTAACCTTAAGTGCAAGCAGGAGGAACTGGGTAGCAAAGGAACAGGACTGGGTCCTCAAGAGTCTAGAGACCCTCCAGAGACTCAGTGGTCAGCCATGCCTGAGGCTCAGCCTGCAGTCAATCTAAATGATGCAGGAAAAAGGGGCGTGGGGTGTGACGAAGTCCATGTCCCAGGTCTCGGCTGAGCCCCTGGGACGTGCCCCTCCAAGTGTGGGTCCATGGCTTTGCACAGGAAAGAATTCAAGACCCACCCACAGTTGAGTAAAGTAGATTTATTTAGAGATATGCATACTGCATAGAGTGTGGGCTGTCTCAAAAAGCAAGAGAAAGACCACAAGGTGTGGGGGTTGGGTGCGCAGGTTAAAATAAAAGTAGGTACACACTCCATAGACAGTGAGGTGTGCCGCCTCCGGAGGTGAGGGAGGGAGAGGCAGCTGCGAGGTGCAGAGTTGCCAGTTTTTATGGGCTCATGCCTACAAGTGGGAGGACTGTTCTAACTACTCTGGGGAAGGGGCTGGGATTCCCAAGAACTGGGCCACCGCCCACTCTTTGACCTTTTGTGGTTAGCCTTGGGACTGTCATGGCACCTGCGGGCATGTTATTTATCATGCTGATGTTACAATGAGCATATAATGAAGCTCAAGCTCTACCAGAAGTCAAACCTCCCACCATCTTAATCCTCAAGACCTACTGGGAGTTGAATCTTCCACCATTTTGGTGTTAAGTGCTGTCATTCCTTGAATGGCTCTGCCCTGCCCCCTTGCCTCCTGTCTCATAAACACTTGCCTGGACTGCTGGGCGAAGGCCGCCTCCCCGGGAGCAGGGAAAAGCTGTGCTGGAGGAAAGGAAGGTTCTAATGCCAGCAGAACTCAGCTCTGCATGGGCGATACCAATGTTACCCCACTCCCCCTACCTGCACTGCGGGTTATTTAAATTTCAATAAATTAAAATGAAATA